CCAGGCATGGGGAGAGCCCCTGGTGCTCGCTGGGGTCATGGGCGGGGCTGGCGGTTTCTTGGGCCAATGCATCGGAGTAAAGGAAGAGATCCTCATAGTCTATGTTTGCAGGATCCTCCTGTTGGGCATTGGGGGCCTGGAGCTCAGCCCCAAGGAAGGGGAAAGGGGAGGGACTGCTGGACAAACCCTGGAAGATGGGGCTCGGGGATGCCCTGCCCACAGTTCGTGGGAGAAAGTATGCGCCACCTGCTGGGCTTTAAGGGAGTATGCCCCTCCCACAGTAGTTTCTAAGGCTTTGGTGCCGCCCACTGAGCATTGTAAGGAAGTATGCCCCTCCCACAGCAGCTTCAGAGGATCTAGGCCACGAGCGAGCCCATTGATCAGCCAAGGTTATATAACACACACGACCCCCTGTAAAAAAAGAAGCCTCATCAACTACATCTCATAAGGATATAAGCTCCACCACAAGCGCGTGGAAGGCCGGTTTCCCGGACGCTGACCCTTGACCACGTGCCACCCACTGCACTTCTAAAGAAATTATACCACCCACAAGTTACTGATGGGTGCCCTGTCTACAATCTTTGTAAGCCAGTAGGGAGCCTCCGTGGGGGACACACGGTCCACGCGGGGTCAGGCGTAGAGGGACTGGGACCAGGAGTGGTGAGGCTGTGGGAGACAGGGACAAGGAAGGGCAGGCTTGGGGCAGAATCACAGAGGCTGAAGGAGATGGGTGTGGCCAAGGGGTCTGGGGCCTGGCCCTGCAGGGGTTGTGCCCTCTCTGGATCCCTCACCTGCCCACAGGGCTGGGTCAGCAGTTCCCCATATGGCCACAATGGCTCCTGCTGGTGGAAGGTGACCAGGGCATCCAGTGAGGTGTGCGCCGCCCTCTCCCCAGGGATCATAACGCTCCCATCGTCCAGGAGCTTCACCATGAAGTGGCGGCAGCAGCCGTGGGCCCTGTGGGAACACGCCCAGAGTGGGATGCTCCCCCTGAGCACCCGACCCCAGCCCCTCGAGCTGGGACACCCCCACCTCCACCTCGGCCCCAAACCATGGCAGCCTGGTTGCCCAGCTCCCACCTCGACTTCTCTACTAACTAGTCGTGTAACCCCTCACTGTGCCTCAGTTTCCCCAATACTATCATGGGGCTACTAAGGCTGACCCCACAGAAGTCTTTCCAGGATGAAACAAGCTACTTGAAAACAAGGCAAAAGCTCTCAGTGCCTGGCTAGAGGTCAGGATGAGTAGAAACAATAATGACTATTGGAGTCGGGTCCCAGCCTAAGGCTGTGTGCCCAGTACACAGCAGGTGCTCAATAAATGCTCTAATAATCAATGAATGCATTTATTAATGTCCTACTATGTGCTTCCTATATCTCATTTAGTCCTCACATCAAGACTGAATTAAATCTTTGTTGTTATTACTTGCTGCTGAGTCAATTCCGACTCACGGCAACCCCATGTGTGCAGAGTAGACCTGCTCCATAGGGTTTTCAAGGCTGTGACCTTCTGGAAGCAGATCACCAGGCCTACTTCCTAGGTGACTCTGGGTGGTCTCGAGCCTCCACCCTTTCAGTTAGTAGTCCAGTGTTTAACCATTTGTACCAGCCAAGGAGTCCTGAATTAAATCTTAGCATTGCCATATTAGACCTGTGAACTTTGGGGGATACTCAGAGAGGCTGAGTGACTTGCCCCAGGTCACACAGCACATAAGTTGCAGACCCGAACCTTGAACATGTGACCATGAGACTGAGGGCTGAAGCTTTTCTCGCTGCAACTTTGTAATTGAGCCACTGGATTTTTTACTCCTTTGACCAGGAATCTTTTGGATTTGCCTTTTGAAAAGTAGTTTGTGCTTCTGAATCCTCTGAGATGTCAGATCAAGCTTTGAGGCCTCAAGCAGCCAGGCTGCCCTGGGTCTTCCGAATACCCATGGCCCCCTGGGGTGAAGTCAAGTTGGTGGTAGGGCGGTGGGGGGACAGCTCTGGGTCCCCCAGCAGCCCCTCTTCTGAGACAGAGTCCCAATTTCAGCTGGTCTCTTGACTGCTGGTTACAGCCAGACCTGCACCATCCATTGGATCTGGCCATACCCCCATGCTGATTGCTCCCTGAGATGTTGTGTCATGAAGAACCCCTTGCCCCCTGCCAAGGAAGCCCCAGAGCCCATTTGCCCCTGCCCCGGCCTTACTTGTAGGAGAGCGTGTAGCCCACGTGGCTGTGGCTGACCCTGATGAGAAAGGATCCCAGTGGCTGTGGCTCCAGTAAGTTCTCCGCAGCCCTGGAAGGGCACACAAAGGAGGGAAATGGCCACAGTCCAGCCACCCAGCTTCCAGGCCAGACTCCGAGTGCACCTGTCACCCCAGGACTGACACCTCCCCCAACCCTGCGCCATGAAAGGCGATGCTTTCGGTTTTCTAAATGAACTGAAAAAAAAAAACAAACCAGTTGCCATCAAGTTAACTAAGACTCATGCGACCCCATGTGTGTCAGAGTAGAATTGTGCTCCATAGGGTTTTCAATGGCTGATTTTCAGAAATAGATCTCCAGGCCTTTCTTCCAAGGCACCTCTGGGTGGACTCGAACCACCAACCTTTTGGTTAGCAGCTGAGTGTGTTCACTGTTTGCACCACCCAGGGACCCCTCTAAATGAACAAACAACCTAAAACCACTTTTTCTTGGTTGTTTCAGACCTTGGAATGTTCAGGGACAGAGATGTCCCCCCCAGAGGTGGCAGAAGGCCTCTGAAGACCTTCTTCCACCCCAGAGTGGACCTCCTCCCACCTTCTATAGCCCCTGTCTGCCTTCTCAGTGCCTGAAATCCCTCTATTAATGCACTTTTGGGTGGATCAAGGTGTCACAGGTAGCAAAGCAGGAGCTACCCCTCAGATGCATTTGGGTTCGAAACCGGGCTCTGCCGTTCATTAGCTGTGTGACCCAGGGCGAGGCTCTGCCCCTCTCTGTTTCTCAGCTTCCTCAAGGGCAAAGTAACTGCTTACTCTCAGGGCTGATGTGAGAATGAATGAAACACATCAACGTTGTGATACTGGGACTTGTTATCTCGTGTGTTGTTGTTATTGTTACTATTACTACCTGTTGCTGTTGAGTCGATTCCAACTCATGGCGACCCCATGTGTTACAGGGTAGAACTGCTCCATAGGGTTTCCTTGGCTGTGATCTTTATGGAAGGAGATCGCCAGGCTTTTCTTCCCAAGAGCTGCTGGGTGGGTTCAAACCACCAACCTTCCGTTAGCAGCCAAGTGCATGCGGTTCATATCACCCAGGGGCCATATTATTATTACTCTTATCATTTATTATCATGATTGCTACTGTTATCTGGGGTTCACAGAGAATAAGGAGCCTTCTGTGTGACAAGCTGGGGAGTCGCTAGGCCTCACTGCTGGCCACATGTGGCTCCTGAGCGCTTGAAACGTGGTTTGTCCAAATTGAGATATGCGTGAGTATAAGACAGATGTGGATTTCGGAGACTTAGAGCAAATAAAAGAATGTAAAATATCTCACGAATAGGTTTGTTAGTATTGATGACATGCTGAAATGATAATATTTTGGATATACTGGGTTCAATAAAATATATATTCTATGAATACACCTTAAATATCAATATATGTTATGAATATGAATGTGCTATATAAATATATGCTAAAATTTATGATTTTAAAAAACCCAACCCATTGCTGTCTTTACAGATGCCAGGCCTTTCTTCCATGGCACCACTGGGTAGATCTGAACCACGATCTTTAGGTTAGCAGCCGATCGCAAACCACTTGCCATCACCCAGGGACCTTAAAAATATATGATGAGATGATAACATATGAAAATTAATTTCACCCATTTCTTTAGCCGCTTTTCAATGTAGTGGCTAAAATATTTTCAATTGCATACGTGGCCCACATTACAGTTCTACTGGCCAGCCCTGCCCCAGAGCTCAGAGACTATCCCCAGTTCCTCTTCTCTGTGGCCCTCCTGGGATTTTCTCAATTTCCTGCATGCTGAGGGTGGCCCTAATTATTCTTTTCTTCATCTGTTTAGTTCAGGCCCTGGGGATGCCTGACTAGGGAGAGTTTATGTCCTCAGAGGCCACAGTCTAATGTAGAAAGGACACACTGGGCTGCATCACTGACGGATTGAAAGCAACTGCTTGGGACACTGTGTTAAGAAGGATTCTGAGGCTGCATCTTGCCATCACTGGCGCACTGTGTTATGGAATCTGAGGCCATCGTGATTGGTGAAGCCTGGCCTGGGTGAGGGGGATGGGCTGCCAGGTCCCTGGCAATATGTGGACATCTGTATACAGAAAGTCGAGGCTCAGAGAGGGAAGTGACTTGCCCAAAGTCACCCAGCAAGTCCATAGAGGAGGCAGGATTCCACCCTAGGTCTGCGTGACTTCTGAGACACTGAGCTGAGCCCCAAATTCTGCAAACTGGCCTGGGATGGGGGCAAGTGGGAAAGCGGGTGAAGGGCAGGGTGAAGGGTGGGTGTGTCCTCACTCTCTCGAGATGGCACCGTGGAACCACGTGGGGACTCCGGCTTGGGCCAGCTGGCCCGCCTGGGTGTGCACGAACCAGTCCAGCCGTGGGGGCAGTGGTGGAGGCAGATTCCTGGTCTCCGTCATGGCTTCCTGGGAGTGGCACCTGGGAGAGGGAGGAGAGAGAGTCAAGACTGGTCTCCCCCCCACAAACCTTTGCTCTCTTATTGTAGCTTATGTTGCCACCTCCTCCAAGGAGTCCTCCAGGCTGGACAGAGAAATGGGCTTAAAACTGGCTTGTGTTTTTTTAAGAACCTACTATATGCTAACCACTTTCTGTACGTTAACTCATCCACTCCTCCTAAATATCCTCCAAGGATTTTTATTTGTCTTTTATTCTTGTTGCTGTTGTTGTTAGCTGCCATTGAGTCGACCCTGACTCACGGTGACCTCACGTACAATGGAATGAAACAATGCTCAGTCCTGCACCATCCCCACGATTGGTTGCCAATCAGACTATTGGGATCAATAGAGTTTTCATCAGCTGATATTCAGAAGTAGATTGCCGGATCTTTCTTCCTAGTCTGTCTTGATCTGGAAGCTCTGCCGAAACCTCTTCATAGCAATACACGCAAACTGCCACTGACAGACAGGTGGTGCACTGGCCAGGAATCGAACCTGGGTCTCCTGTATGGAAGGCAAGAATTCTACCACTGACCCACCGGTGTCCTCCCTTTTATTCTTATCAGGTCATTAATATGAGTGCTAGAAAATTCTCTTTATAAATAAGTATATTTAAATTTCAGAACAGACTTTATTTAATACTGAGTAAATATCAATGTCCCTGGTGGGGTGTGAATGAGAGGCAGCTGACACACAGTGGGTACACACAAGGTTGCCATAGTGTTGTTAAACACTAGAGAAATGTGACCCAAAGCAGTTGCTTCTGCCGCCAATGTTGCCATGAGTAGCAGCCACTGATAGAGTACCGACAGCATGTCAGGTGTATTGTTAATCCACAAGCACATTCTCAACAATTTTGATTTAAACTCAAGGTCGCACTGGGCTTTGTGAGCCATTTGCACGGAGCTGAAGTCCCTAGGTGGTACAAACGGTTAATCGCTTGAATACTGTCATGGATTGAATTATATCCCCCCAAAAATGTGTGTATCAGTTTGGCTGGGCCGCCATGATTCCCAGTATTCTGTGGTTGTCCTCCATTTTGTGATTGTAATTTTACGTTAAAGAAGATTAGGGTGGGATTGTAACACTACCCTTACCCAGGTCACCTCCCCGATCCAATGTAAAGGGAGTTTCCCTGGGGTGTGGCCTGCACCACCTTTATCTCTCAAGAGATAAAAGGAAAGGGAAGCAAGCAGAGAGTTGGGGACCTCATACCACCAAGAAAGCAGTGCTGGGAGCAGAGCACGTCCTTTGGACCTGAGGTTCCTGTGCTGAGATGCTCCCAGACCTAGGGAAGACTGATGACAAGGACCTTCTTCTAGAGCCAACAGAGAGACAGAAAACCTTCCCCTGGAGCCAGCACCCTGAATTCGGACTTCTAGCCTACTGGACTGTGAGAGAATAAACTTCTCTTTATTAAAGCCATCCACTTGTGGTATTTCTGTTATAGCAGCACTAGATGACTAAGACAACTACTAACCCACAGGTTGGAAGTTCAAGCCCACCCAGAGGCACCTTGGAAGAAAGCCTGGTAATCTGCTTCCCATAAATCTGCCACTGAAAACCCTATGGAGCACAGGTCCACTCTGACACACATGGGGTTGCCATGTGTCAGAATCAACTCGAAGGCAAAGGGTGTTTGTTTTTTTGTGCCAGGCAGAGCTCCTGGGTGTGGCAAATGGTTAACATGAGCAGCTGCTAACCAAAAGGTTAGCAGTTTGAACCCACCCAGAGGCACCTCAGAAGAAAGGCCTGGCAATCAGGTTCCATAAAATTAGCCATTGAAAACCCTATGGAGCAGTTCTCCTCTGACACATGAGGTCACCATGAGCTGGAATCAACTTGATGGCAACTGGTTTTAGTTTGGCTTAGAGAAAGAAAACATCACCAATTTGCACAAAGGTATTAAATTACTGTAAAGCTAGCCAAAGGGTCATACCCTGCTTGGTCAACCACATAAGACTCCTTCACACTCACCCTTAATTCTGTCCCCAAACTGGAGCTCCACGCCTCCCCCACTGTCCCTGTCTACATTTTCATTGTCACGGAAGATTATTGTTACTGGGCTGTTTCCTCTGGAAAGAGGCGTGTCGACCAACCCCAGTCAATATTTACTTTCTCAGCCAGAAGATGACCAACCCGCCCTCTGGGGAGAGGGCCAAGGGGATTCTGGGTCAAGTGAAATTAAATGAATGTTTTAAGAAATGTCTCATAAGGCAGGATGGAAAAGTGATTAAGAGCCTGAAATCGGAGCCAGATGGCTCAGGTTCAAATCTCAGCTCTCCCACTTACCTGTTCTGTGAACTTGGGCAAATCACCTAACCTCTCTGTGCCCGTTTCCTCATCTGTAATTTGTGCATAATGGTGCTATTTACCTTGGAAGGTAATTGGCACAGAATAAGCATTGTATGTATATAATAAATATTTATGAACCCAGTCCTAGCATGGGGTAATGTTTATAAAACTAAACCTGTGGCTGTCGAGTCGATTCCGACTCATGAAGAACTCATATGTTACAGAGTAGAACTGTGCCATAGGGTTTTCTTGGCTGTAATCTTTACAAAAGCAGATCTCCAGGCCTTTCTTCCGAGGTGCCACTGGGTGGGTTTGAACCACCAACCTTTAGGTTAGTAGTCGAGCGTGAACCGTTTGCACCACCCAGGGACCTTGGTAATGCTTATAGGCTTGTTCTTTTTTTCTACCTGGGAGAACTCCTATTCACCCTCCAAAACCCAGCAAAAATATTCCTTCCTTCGGCAGCCTTCCTGTCTCACCCGCTAGAAAAAGCCCTGGCTCCCTTCTGTCTTCCATTCTCCCTCCAACCGCCCTCCCTCTTTTATGGCCCAGCCCTGACCCCATGGACATAGTGTGTTTGTCTGTGTCTGACTCCCCCAGACTGGGGGGTTCTTAAGGGTCAGGCCTAGGGCTGAGTCTTTTGGGTTCTTTCTGGTCCCCAGCATCACACGATATGAGCAGGTACAGAGAAGCATGCACGGTATTTGCTGATGAATGATGATCTAGTTCCAGAACAGACGAATGAACCCATTTGTTGTTGTTAGTTGCCATTGAGTCCATTTTGACTCCTGATGACCCCATGTGTGCAGAGTAGAACTGTTCTCCATAGGGTTTTCAAGGCTGTGACCTTTTGGAAGCAGATCTCTAGGCTTTTCTTCCAAGGTGTCCCTGAGTTAGTTCAACCTGCCAACCTTATAGCTAGTAGTTGAGTGCTCAAATACAAGTTCAAACTCCTGACTCTGCCATGGGGACCTTTCCCACCTCCCCTTCCCCTACATCCGGCCCAAAGGACATCTTTGCCCTGCTCAAAGCTGACCAGGCTCTCTCTCTCTTTGCCTGACTCCAGCTCTGTTTTCTAATGTTCCCCCTAATGTCCCCTCCTCCAGAAAGCCCTCCCAGCATTCCTGGGCCCTCTGGACCACACCGGCCCGTCCCTCCTCTGACTCAGCCTGGCATCATGCTCTCTCTCCTCAAGAGCCCTGCGAGGCTGAGGCTCTAGGGGGACCCCCCAGCCTCACCCAGCATGGGTGACACCGAGGTGTCCTGACAGAGGGCCCCAGGCTAAGCCCCCTCTCAGCCCCGCCTGACCACGTACCTGGGAAGCCCCGGGGCTGCTGAGGCCCTTGCTGGCTGTGCCCCACTACAGGCGCCGGTTTCATTTCAGGGTCTGTGCGTCAGTGGGGCGGGGCGCTGCCCAGGGTGGTTTCTGTTTCCTGGAGCAGGTGTGCGCCTGGGAGCCCTTTGCAGAGTCGGAGGAGGCCACTCAGCCAAGGGGGGAGGGATGCCTGGCTCCCACCCAGCCACCCACAAGCCTTTAATGAGCACCGACTGTGTGCCAGATCCTCAGGGGACACACGGGTGACCCTGGGATATGTGCAGGCCCCGCCCTCCTGGCGTTTATAATCTAGGGAGACTGAAGAGGTATGGGACATTATTCACATCATTGTCACCAAGTGGACACCCTGTTAGGGAGCGGGGTGAGGAGTCACGAGAACCCCCAGAGGAGGCCCTGCTAACCCAGAGAAAGGGGTGTCCCAAGGCAGGTTGGAGGCAGCTAGACTGGGGGTGCAGAAAGGTGCTCAGGGCAGATGGAATGGCATGAGCAAAGGCCCTGGGGCAGGAATGAGTCTGGAGCAGCATCCCACGAACACAGGAGAGCCTTAGGATTTTGACATTATGATTTCCTCCATAAACAAATATTTATTACTGAATTGTACATGTAGAACTTGTTGAGATGGTGGATGTTTTGTTACGTATATTTTCACCACAATAAAATTTAAAAACAGCAACAACAAAACACAAATATTTAACATTATATTTTACAACTGTGTTGGTTTCAAGAAGAATGTAATCCGAGCTGTATTCATTATTATGTTTATTATTATTGTATTTATTTTTTCTTCTGATTTCAAAATAAATGAAAACATTTTGGGGGCTCCTATACCTTGGCAGTTCAGTGCTACAATCCTCACCTTCCATGTGGGAGACCTGGATTCGATTCCCGGCCAATGCACCTCATGCACAGTCTGTCAGTGGAGGCTTCAATGTTATGATGCTGAACGGGTTTCAGCGAAGCTTCCAGACTAAAATAGACTAGGAAGAAAAGCCTGGAGATCTGTTTCTAAAAATCAGCCAGCGAAAACGCTATGGGTCACAATGGTCTGAGCCGCAGCTGATCATGGGGATGGTGCAGGACTGGGCATTTCATTCTATTATGCATGGGGCTGCCATGAGTCAGAGACCAACTCTGTGGGAGCTAACAACAATAACATGCACCCTGGGCCCTGGGCTCTGCTGGCTGTCCTCCCTTCCCCCCAGACCACATGGGCTAAACCACTTCCTCCTTCCCTTTCAGGCAGAAAGGGCCCTGATCCTTGTGGCTAGGTTGGGTCCTCCTCCCCACCCCCTCACTCCCCCGCCACAAGTTTATTGCCCAGGCCCAGGGGGGACAGATAACCCCCAGGGTAGGCTCAAGCTGGGGGACCCTCTTACCCCACCCCTGCTCCTCAGGGTGAGTGTCTTGTCTGCAATCTGTGAGTCCACAAAGCCCAAGGAGGAGACGTGTGGAACTGGCTTTCACTCATCAGCTGTGTGGCCTTGGGCAGCTCAGCCTCTCTGGGGACCTCAGTTTCCTCATCTGTGAAGTGGGCACAAAAATAGCCTTCCTTGGTAACCATGATGGGGGGTGGGGGGATGATCCTCAGGCACATAACATTAGGATACTTCATTAAGACTTAACCTGAGGCCACTGTGCTTGGCTGGGGAGACCTCATAGGCTGGGCCACCTGAGAGACCTTGCTTCACCTCTCTGATCCTCCACACCCTCTGCAGCCCAATGGGCCACATCGAGCCTTGACGGGGTGGGTCGGGAACCTTATCACTCAGG